CGTCAATAGTTTGTGATATATGCATATTTGTCTTGCAACAGTCAGATAATTTCTTATCGAATGCTTAGTAAAGTATAAGATATAGGTAAAGGTGAAATTAAGGTATTTGTACATTGATTTGTGGTTTTATATTTGGCACAAAGGATTGTATACGTTAAAAGAAAGGGCAAAATAGCCTTATATATGTATTGAGTGCGTGCATAGCATAGAAAGTACAAAGCTTAGAAATCCGATCACGCACAAACTTTCCCGTGTCAATCGCACGCAGTACAATGCGTCTCGCGACAAAAGTTCACTGGCACCTCCGGCTGGAAATAGGCGACAGTATTGCCCATATGAAATCAGGTCATCATTACTTTCGATCAGATTATTCCGTATTAAATTAACATTCTATCTAGTTAACAATAGACGTATACGTATCAAACACTTACCAGCTAGAGTAAGTCATGTTGATATAACACTTCTAAGCTGCTAAATATATTAAACGAAAAAATGAGATATTTATAAAACAATGAATATGAATAGTGATGATAATATTTGGTAGTATTCCTTATTTTATACAGAATTTTACGAATAATATTGAAGTTAACCTTGTTTCAATACAGTGCTGAAAAAGGCGAGCGAGTGCACTTCGAGGTGTCGTTCGAGCCGATTTTTACTGCGGTGAGCACGCCCGACGTTACAGATGTGATGGACCGCCAGCTCAGATCACCCACCGGATACTTCAGCACTATCACTGTTCTTCCTGACACATTACATATTGAGGTAAAGATATATATATTTCAAACCAAAATGACTATGCAGATCTATATGAATTAATAAATTCCCCAACCACCCATAAGCCCCGACACCAATAAATCGTAGTACTATTTTTTAGGAAAGTTCAGTAATATCTTCGCAAGCATTGACGGAATCTGACAGCTTAGAAGAGGAGGCAACGACCACTGAGATGATATCATTCGATCTGGTGGAGGAATTACGGGAGTGTGCGCCCCTCACGCTGCCGCTGTGTTCGCACTTACCCTACAACATCACCACGTATCCCAACCTAGTCGCACATCCTTCTAAAGAAGCGTTAATGCGTGACTTGGTGGCTTTTAGAGAACTTTTGGATGCTGAATGCTCACATTTAG